GTACCTCGGATGTTCCGGATGGTTTCCAAAGACCCAGAGGACTATTTTGAGGTAAATCTGCAGAATGGGATCTTGTTTGTGAATTCTCGGATAGACAGGGAGAAGCTCTGTGCCCAAAATCCCATCTGTACCATTCATTTAGAGATGACTGTGGAGAAACCTCTGAGGATCTTTCATGCAGAGGTCGAGATCAGGGACATAAACGACAACGCTCCGATTTTTCCAGTAAATGAACAACAGCTATTTATTTTAGAGTCTAGGCTGCCGGGATCCTATTTCCCACTAGAGGGCGCTTCAGACGCAGATATCGGTTCGAACGGTCTGCTAACCTATATCCTTAGTCCAGACGATTATTTTCAGCTACGTGAGGAGAAGCACGGTGGCCTCAGAAAATCGTTAGCGCTAGTGATCCAGAATGCCCTAGATCGAGAAAAATCGCCTGCCCACCATCTATTGCTCACTGCCACCGACGGGGGACAGCCTGCCCTAAGTGGCACATTACACCTGGAAATAATTGTCCTAGATGCAAATGACAATGTCCCCTTGTTTAACCAGTCAGTGTATGAGGCGACTCTGCTGGAAAACATCACAGAAGGAACCACAGTCTTGACATTAACGGCCTATGATCTGGACGAAGGAACAAATAAAGAAATACTTTATTCATTTAGCAACATGATGCCTTCCCATTACGGACGTATTTTTTCCATAGATGCCAACACGGGAGAAATCAAAATGAAAGGAGAGGTAGACTTTGAGGAAATTAATTTATTTGAATTACAAATTGAAGCTGTTGATCAAGGTCCGTATCCTCTGGTTGGACACTGCAAAGTTCTCATCCACGTTCTGGATGTGAATGACAACGTTCCAGAACTGTCGGTGACCTCTCTGTCTGTGCCAGTGCCGGAGGATTCATCCCTAGGGACAGTGGTGGCCCTTATGAGCATCTCAGACAGGGATGCAGGCATTAATGCTCAAGTCAGTTGCTCACTGTGGCCCCCTGGGCTCCCCTTCAAGCTGGTGTCCACCTTCAAGAATTATTATTCCCTTGTGGTGGCAGAGTCTTTGGATCGCGAGCAGACGGCAGAATACAGGGTGCTCGTGATGGTCCAAGACCAAGGCGCCCCCTCATTGTCATCCTCTAGTAGCCTGGTGGTACCTATTGGTGATGTAAATGACAATGCACCATCTTTTGTACAGCCTTCTTACACTGTCTTTGTGAAGGAGAACAACCCTCCGGGTGCCCAAATATTCACAGTGTCTGCCTCGGACCCAGATGTGGCTGAGAATGCCCTGGTCAGCTACTGGCTGGATGAGAAGCTCTGGCCACTCTCCAGCTATGTCTCTGTGCACTCCGAGAGCGGGAAGCTCTATGCCTTACAATCTTTGGACTACGAGGAAATGAAGCTTCTGGAGTTCCAAGTGAGTGCCAAGGATGCTGGGTTGCCTTCCTTATGTAGCAATGTAACCGTGCAAGTCTTTGTGGTGGATGAGAATGACAATGCCCCTGCGGTATCTGGGGAAGCAGAGGCCCCCTTTTCATTGATGCTTCCCATAGCTGCTGGGCACACAGTGGGCAAAATCCATGCCATAGATGCTGATTCTGGATACAATGCATGGCTGCATTATGAACTGCATGAAAGAAATACCGGCTCCTGGCGAGTGGGGCTGTACAGTGGTGAGATTAGCACCAAGCATGCCCTAGATGAAGCAGAAAGTGTAGGCAGTAGCACAACTCTGGTGGTGACAGTGAAAGACCATGGCAAGCCTGTGCTCTCAACCACAGCCACACTGAGTATATCTCTGGTGACAAACACCCAGGGTATTAAGACTGATGCCCACCTTCGTAGGATGGCTGGGAGCCCAAAACCTCTGGAGGACAGTACAAACATCTACTTGATCATTGCCATCTGCTCAGTATCCAGTTTGTTCATTCTTGCAGTTGTTGTGTATGTGGCCCTACGTTGCCAGTCTCTGCTTGAGGATGATGCAACATGTGGCCCTGGCACAGCCACATTAGTCTGTGCCAGTGAAGTGGGAAGCTGGTCCTATTCACACCGTCATAGCCGCAACCTGGCATGTGTACCTGGGGAAGCTGGTGTGAAGAGTGACCTCATGGTCTTCAGTCCCAATATTCCTGTCTTTGCTGTGAATCCAGGGATGGGGAATTCAAAAGAGGTTGTTCCAAATTCATCTGGAGAGGTGAGTCATGCAGATATTTAAGATACTGGTTACCGACAGTCCTCTGTTCCTTTCCAATCTGAGCTGATTTAACTGTAGTATGATACTCCTGCTGCACACCAATGGGGCGAATGGCTTTGTATGCTTCAGTTATTTACTGCTGATAAGCTATATTAATTGGTTTATTTGAGTAAAGGAAAAGATTTTGAAACCACATGTTTTTGAACTAAAATTCATGTTGATCATCTCACAAATTAATCAGTGCTAGAAGCAAACTGGCTGGTGCTTTGTTTTGGACAACAGTGGGAGGTGAATTGTAGGCTAAAAGCAGTGATACAGCAGGTATGTATACTGGTTTATGATCTGCGTACACCCAACCATTGAAAACGTATTGTATAAGGGAACTTTGGGTGTGATTAAATAGCAAGAAGTGATTGCTTCTGATTGCACCGGAAAGGGTTGCTTTGCTGGGAGTGAACTCCCACCACCCGTTTTTTTACTTGTAAATTTTTATCAAGTTTCATCAATAAAGATAAAAGAAAGGTATGATGATAACAGTCTCAAGCAAAATTCTGTATCTTTTCACACAATTATATATCTTTAGATTTTCAGCTTTCAATTTCTGATATGCAAGGCAGATCTTTAATTTAACTTATAGTGTTGACCTAGGAATTTATAATATTCTGACCATCTTTCTTCATAGTCCTCATAATGGTTTTTCTAAAAGGCATGGAAAATTAAAGACTGTAAGAAGATATTAACGTTGGGAAACCGGTGGGTAACACCCGGCTTTTTCATTTCTTCTTATAATGATACAGTAATGTAAAACTAAAGAATAGAAAGGACTGAATGGCATAAACAAGCAGTTGTGCTCCCATACCCCATATTGCCTCTACTAGTTACTTGGCCTGTGTCCTTGCTGAACATGGTTATGCTAACAGAGGCTTGGTGATGCATTTTGAAATGAAGGAGCTCATCATGAAAGCCCTTGTAGCCTTGCTCCCATCTGTCTCTCTATCTCTGTCTGTCTTTCTCCTGCTTTTCTGTTGTTTCTATTCAAAGAAGCTTGTGATTTTAAAATACCTCAAATAAAAAAAAAGTTAATGTCTGCATGAACATCCAATCTTGCACTTAGTTGCTTGTGAGAAAGATCCACTAAATTCAGTGAAGTGTAGTTTTTGCCTTCATAGGTTCAATTTCTTTCCTGTAAAATCATATTGCCATTAAAACTAGTAGCATGAAGTAGGAACCGAATCAAATGAAAGGAAAGCTGCATTTAGCCTCTGCTTTATCACGTGGGACGTGGTGGCGCTGCGGGCTAAACCGCCGAAGCCTGTGCTGCAGAGTCAGAAGACCAGCAGTTGTAAGATCGAATCCACGTGACGGAGTGAGCGCCTGTCGCTTGTCCCAGCTCCCGCCAACCTAGCGGTTCGAAAGCATGTAAAAATGCAAGTAGATAAATAGGGACCACCTCGGGGGGAAGGTAACAGTGTTCCGGGTCTAGTCGCGCTGGCCACGTGACCACGGAAGATTGTCTTCGGACAAAACGCTGGCTCTATGGCTTGGAAACGGGGATGAGCACCGCCCCCTGGAGTCGAACACAACTGGACAAAAATTGTCAAGGGGAACCTTTACCTTTACCTTTACCTGATCATTTTTCTTCTTCTTTGTCTTCATCTATATTAATTTGTCATAACAGTAGTAAAAATTATCCCCTCACCTACATGGTAAATCAGGGAGAGTCTTGTCAATGCTCCCTTGTACTTCACGTTCACTATATCTGTGCAGTAAATGGGAAAGTTAAGAAAGGCCATAGAACAGCTTGACTTGCCCTTTGGCGATGAGAGAGAGCATGATTTGTTGGGAGTAGCTTTGGAACGGGTGGTCCTTATTCAAACTGAGCTCACTGCTCAGCTATGAAATCCATTGGGCGGCTTTGGGCCTTTTACCATCTCCTAGCTTAGCCCGCCTTACAGATTTGCGAAAATAATGAAGGAGGAAACATGTGGCCTGGTCAGAACACTTTGGCGGAGGGGTTGGACTGGGACATTGCAAATGAAAGGAGACTTTTAAGGAAAGAGTTACAACTCCAGACAATTATCTGGTTTAATTTATCAAAGGGGGAGGGGTTTAGGGGAGATTTCAAAAGAATTTCTTAATATGGTTTAATACTTTCAGTGTTTATGCACTGAAAGATGATGCAAGAAATAGATTGTATCACTAGCGGAATTAAAGATTCTGTGGATAAAGTATTGGGACTTTTGATGAGTTGCAGCTTCCTTGGGATGTGGAGAAACACAACTTAATGTTCATGGTGGGAGATAAGTAAATGATGCTGTCCCATGTATGCTGTAAATCTGTCCCCAGTTCTGGCTTACTTGAGTGAATTTAATCTCCCACCTTATCAAAGAATATTGTTACCCTTGGATCTATTATAAAAATACATTTTTTTTTTCAGAATCTTTCCATGGCATAGAAAAGTTTGGCTACCCTTGTGGCTGTTGTTTTTCTATTCCCTTGAAAACATCTTCCCCCCTTTCTTCTTTGTCTTTTACTGCCATGAATTACATGAACTCCTTCCACTGAACCTGCTATCTTTTTCCAGCACGTTGCAGGTTGGATCGCAGCTTATGCTTTTTATTATATAAAGCAATTTGCTTCATAGTACTGAGTTAAAACAGAAAACTCTCCTTCCTATGGAAAACTCAGAAATGATAGGAGAGAAACATTTTTATACTGAATGCCATTTTCAGATGCTTAGCTTGACACCATGTTTTTCTCAGAAAACCCCCATGTTGAATAGACGTGAGGAAATATTGAATATGTCGGGAAAACTGAAGTTATCCCTAGATATTTTAAAGGAGATTACACTTCTAGATACAAGGATGATGATGATGTCAGCCACACACTACGATGACCTGCTTATGGAGAATGAAATCTACATCAAAGATGCAATAGTTCATCGATTCCTAATAGATCTAAACTTAAAAATGATTTTTGTTAAAGAGCTGGAAGTTAAAGACTCTGAGCACAGGTTGCTGTCCTCTGAAGATGCCCGCCACAGAGACTGGCGAAACGTCAGGAAGAACAACCAGAACACGGCCAAAGAGCCGGAAAAACCCAGAACAACCATTAAAGACTCTTGTGGATCATTTAGTGTCTTACCAATAGATCCTGATCTACTTTCTGCCCACCCATATTGTGTCATCATACAGCATACAAGAGAACACAACTCTGCTCCAAGCCTGACACAAAGGAAATGCGTTCTAAAGGAGGAAAGCAATGTCATTTTTAAGGAGAAAAATGGGAAATAAATAAATAAATAAATAAATAAAATATGGCCTTCATCTCCCAGAAGCCTTCACCACCATCTCCCCTGGCCAGGATTTCTGGGAGCTGAAGTTCAAGAACCTCTGGAGGCCCAAGGTTGGGGACCATTGCAATAGTTCATCGATTCCTAATAGATCTAAACTTAAAAATGATTTTTGTTAAAGAGCTGGAAGTTAAAGACTCTGAGCACAGGTTGCTATCCTCTGAAGATACCGGCCACAGAGACTGGCGAAACGTCGGGAAGAACAACCTTCAGAACACGGCCAAAGAGCCCAAAAAACCCATAACAACCATTAAGGACTCTTGTGGATCATTTAGTGTCTTGCCAATAGATCCTGATCTACTTTCTGCCCACACAGGGTGCAAGACAAAGTCCAGAATATTTTGAAACTACATGGTGCAGTGTTCATCTTCCCAATTCATCAGTTGTCATCTTTTCCTTTCTTCTGGAACCACAGTAATTCCACTGACTAGGGTGTGGGTCCCTTCCTTTCTTTTTCTTTCCTGACTTGGCAGGTAGCTTCACTCAAAGAGGTTTTTGTACCTTGTTGAGGGTCCGAAAAGAATATTCTTCTGTTCCAGACAATTAAAATGCCTCTTCTTCCAGTGTGGAATGTGTCTTGCTTTGCGCAACATGTAGTTCCTTCTTTTGCAATAACATTTAGCAATGTGTCTGCTCTTTGGTTTCTGTGTGTTGTGCAAGTGACCTTCTTAATGTAGGCTGATGGTTAAAAGAAAAGTGCCTTGCCTTTGGATTCTTTTGGCCCAGTCCAGAAGTCAGGGAAAGAAAGATGACCAGGTTCATCTGAATCCCTAGAATTGGAATTTCTAAATGGACAGTAAAGTATCTTGAACCAATTTTGACCTGACCTTGGTCACTTTAAGTCAATATGTATTCCATCTGGCCAAGAGATGAGTTTCTCATAATTTTTAAAAAGAAAATACTAATATTATACATTTAAGATGTGTGCGATAACTTCTCAAGGAACAATAACAGAGTATATTATAAAGAATTTACATATGAATTACAAGATGCAATTAATTACTGAGTCTAAGAAACAGAAAAAAAAATGAAAAGGAGGACAAAGCTATATGCCATTTATACCAGTTGTCACAAGATGTCGCTGCCCACTGAAAAGCAAAAAGGCTTTCTTGATACAATGCTCCCCTCCCAGCTCTACAGCAAGAAAAGAGACTGAAAGACAACAGGATGGAATCAGCAGCATAAGAACTGGATGTTTCCCAGCTTTTAATGGCAACTCCCAACAGTGGATTTAATTTTAAAAACCAGGAATACAACCTACCATAGCTATGATTGTTTTCTTCCAGTGCTGCCTAGCAAGACGTCGCCTGCTCCAGCTGTTTTTTCTCAGCATGGCTTGGGGGCTGGGGAAGGGCCAGCTCCATTATTCGGTGCCGGAGGAATCCCAGCATGGCACCTTTGTGGGCCGCATCACTCAGGATCTGGGACTGGAAGTGGAGGAGCTGATGCCTCGGATGTTCCGGATGGAATCCCAAAGCCACGGAGATTATTTAGAGGTAAATGTCCAGAATGGAATTTTGTTTGTCAATTCCCGAATAGACAGGGAGGAGCTGTGTGCCAAGAGCCCTTTGTGTTCCATTCATCTGGAGGTGATTGTAGACAAGCCTCTGAAGGTCTTCCATGTAGAGGTGGAAATTAAGGATATAAATGACAATGCTCCTATGTTCCCTCAGAAGGAACAACATGTCTTTGTTTCAGAAATGAGGATGCCTGGATCATTTTTCCCACTGCAGGGAGCTTCCGATGCAGATATTGGTCCAAACTCTCTCCTCACTTATGCACTCAGTCCTAGTGAATACTTTGCTTTAGATGTTCAGAGGAAACATGATGAAAGCCAGTCACTAGGACTCCTTTTAAAGGCCCCTTTAGACAGAGAGGTCAAGGCTATGTATCGTTTGCTGCTGACAGCCACAGATGCAGGGAAACCAGCACTCAGTGGCACAGCGCAGCTGGTGATTTCTGTGCTCGATGAAAATGACAATGCACCTGCCTTTAATCAATCCATTTACAAAGTCCAGATGGCAGAGGATGTGCCAAGTGGGACATTAGTAATGAAATTAAATGCTACAGATTTGGATGAGGGAACCAATCAAGATGTTATATATTCATTCCAAAACCATGTGCCTGTTAAATTAAAAAATACATTTACTCTAGATTCCATAACTGGGGAAATAAGGACCAAAGAGCAATTAGATTTTGAGGAAAACCATCAATATGAAATCCAGGTACAAGCTAGTGATAAAGGAAGCAACCCGATGACGGGATATTGTACCCTTGTGATTGAAGTGCTGGATGTCAATGACAATGCCCCAGAGATGTCACTGAAGTCTCTGTCAGTACCAGTGCCAGAGGATTCCTTGCCTGGGATGGTGGTAGCCCTGATCAGTGTGTCAGATAGGGACTCTGGGGCCAATGGCCAGATAAACTGCTCCCTGTACCCTGCTGGGCTTCCCTTCAAGTTAACATCCACTTTCAAGAATTACCACTCTTTGGTTGTGGCTGAGCCCTTGGATCGGGAGAAGGTGGCAGAATACAAACTGATTGTAAAAGCCCAAGACCATGGGGCACCATCCATGTCAGTCACCAACAGCCTGGTGGTACCCATTGGGGATGTGAACGACAATACACCAACTTTCCCCCAATCTTCTTATACTGTCTTTGTGAAGGAGAACAACCCACCTGGTGCTCACATCTTCACGGTGTCTGCCTCGGACCCTGATGTGGCTGAGAATGCCCTGGTCACCTACTGGATAGATCAGAAGCTCTGGCCACTCTCCAGCTACATCTCTGTGCACTCAGAGAGTGCGAAACTCTATGCCTTGCAGCCTTTTGACTATGAGGAGCTGAAGCTACTGGAGTTCCAAGTGATTGCCAAGGATGCTGGATTGCCTTCCTTGTATGGCAATGTGACCATTCAAGTCTTTGTGATGGATGAAAATGACAATGCACCGGCTGTATCTGGGCAGTCGGAGGAAGCTCCCATTCTTCTAGTGTTTCCTGTGACAGCTGGGCATGTGGTGGGCAAAATCCGTGCCCTGGATGCTGATTCAGGCTATAATGCATGGCTGCGCTATGAAATACACGAGGGAGCCAATGGTCCTTGGCGAGTAGGACAATACAGTGGTGAGGTCAGCACCACACGTGTCCTTGATGAGGGAGAAGTTAGTGGCAACAGTCACTGTGTGCTAGTGGTGGTGAAGGATCATGGAAAGCC